TTGGTACAGAGAACTCCTGAGTGAGGAAACTCCCTCTACCAATTCAGACCAGAACCAGAGTAGCATCAATGGATTTGGAGTTGGCAAGATCTGAATTTGAATCCTGCTTCAGACACTTCCAGCAGTGTGATCCTGGACAAGTCACTTAACTTCTTCATCTGTAAAAACAGAGGATTGGTCTCAATTAACTCTAAGGTTCCTTAAAGCACTGATGCTTTGAACTATGCATCTTCTCTGCAACTTATAGTCCTATAGGATTTAGGGCACTGAATGGTTAATTGACTTGCTTAGAGACACAGCTAGTATGTGTCACTGGTTGTAGGGCTTGAGTTCCTGGGGTCTTTTTGGTTTCAAAGTAGGTGCTTTATCTATTATACCATACTACCTCTCACGTTCCCCATATTTCCAGGATTACAACGGGAAACACACACACACACACACACACACACACACACACACACACACACACGTGAATATTTTACTTTGAAAGATTTTATGCATCACATCAAAAATGGTTTGTTCATTATAAATGAAATGGTATTTTCAATCTCTTCAAATAATATCTTAAATTTCTTTGAACAAATTTGGTACCATATTCAAAATTTTAAAGTCCTGTGACTTAATTGACGAGGATATTCCCTCTCCATCTTCTTAGTAGGCAGCCTTTTAGTTGCTGTGACCCTAAGCAATCCAGCCTTTGGTTTGGTGATGACTCTTTCCAATCATGGTGGGGTCAATGGTGGGTATTACAATAAGCATTTTTTGGAGCACGTGTTACATGTATGGTGGCATACTAGACGCTGGGGTTGAAAAAAACAACAGAGAACCTAGTATCATCACATTGTAAGTAAACAGTTTGCCACGTTGGTTCAAATAAAGACTGGACCATTTACCTCATCCCCATTTCGGTCTGAATAAAACCATAGTGCATCATCATAGGCATGTTATTTTGGGGTGTGTTTGCTAATGCACACATAAACACCCTTTCAAATCTTATATTTGGTGTGTCAATGTTTAGGCCAATAGGGTTATTTATTTTTTCATGTGGATTAGCTTTTTTTCTTTAAGTTTGTTGATGTTGATGTGTGAGTTTTTACCATAAATGCTCAAATCTCTCCTAAGTTTAACTAAAGAAGTATGGAATAGAGTTGGTGTATTTTTTTAAATTAATAATCAGTTTTATTTTTGAAGTTAACCTTTAGGAAAAACCACCTTTTACCATCCTTATCAAACTGCTTCCTTTCCCAACCTTTTTTATTTTTAACTTAAAAGGACATAAAAAGCAGCATCCTAAAATACTTGAAATGAATTGGTAATAGTGACAGATTTTAATATTGGAAATTTACAATTGATAATGAAATTGTTCACTGAAGTTGACCTAACCTTTTAAACAATTTAGATTTTTAAAAAACCCAACAATGATGTTCATCATACAGTTTATATTTATTCCTTGGTTTACAGGAAATGGATCCTATGTTTTGGAGCCCCTAGTATGGCTGTCTGGACCATATAGCAGTAAGCCAAAGTGGTCTGGATAGGAAGTCAGGAAGAAGTAGCATTCCCAGCTGGTCACAGACCTTGCTATTTAACCAACAATTTTTCCCACTCTAATCCTGACCCTTACTATCTACCTCCTGAGACTTTATATTGCTTTTTTTATGACAGTTTGAATACCCCTTTCCTGACACTATCTTCCCTTCCTTCTCTTTAAGGCCCTAGGTGTTGATTTCACATATATGTAGTATAATAATAATAATAAAATTACAGCAACAACAACAATAACAATAGCTAACATTTACATCATGTTTATTATGTGCCAGGCATTGTACTGAGCATATTAAATTATAATTGCATTTGATTTTCACAACAACCCTGGAGGTAGGTGCTACTCTTCTGCCCATTTTACAGATAAAGGAGCTGAGGAAAACAGTGGTTTCGTGACTCTCAGCGTCACACAGCTAGTAAGTGTCTGAGGCTGGATCTGAACTCAGGTCTTCCTGCCTTCAGGACATATGCTCTATCTACTGTGTCACTTAGCTACCACTACTACCCCAAGTTCAAAACACTCTATGGATCTGCACTACTAAAATTACAATTAAGAAGCCCTTACAGGTGAATTTTTTCCCCAATATTCAGTCAAATGACACAACTCAAAGATTTGTTGCAATGGTACAAGAAGAAAAATAGCTACAAAATACTTCTCCCACAAACCACTCTCTACAAATATATATATATATATATATATATATATGACATATATATATATATGACATCAATAAAAAGAGTGAGATCTGTGCTGTCATTAGCATAAGGAACTCTAAGAAAGGAAATCCCATTATGAATACAGATCTGCATCTACCCCACAACTAAATCTTAAGAGAGTTGCAAGGGAGAGGAAAAGTGACTGGCCCAGGGTCACACAGAGCGATTATTGAGTCATGGTTAGACTTGAACCTAGGGCCTAAGTCTTCCTGAGGTTAACTCTATCAAGTCTGCCAAGCTCTCTCTCCTATTTATTTTTTATTTACTTATCCATGTCCATATTGGCTTCTCCCAAACCCAATTAGAATGTATTTTTTTTAAGGCAAAAGACTTGAATTTTTCACTTTGTATTCCCAGGGCCAACCCAGGTATCTAGCATTTATAAATACATATGAAATAAAGCAATCTAGGCCAACCTCCTCATGTTACAGAACAGAATACAAAGTTACAGAGATATGAAATGACTTGTTCAATGGCCAGTTAAGCAGTAAGTGGTAGTGCTCTGAATTTCCTCTACTACAAAGTTAACATTCCAAGAAGCTAAAAGAAAACTGCAGACATTTAAGGAAGTACTAGATCTATTTCAAATAATTTCTTCAAACACAAAAACAAATTATATTGTATCTTGGAACTAGAAGAAATTAGAAATCATAGCATTAAGACAATAGATTCTGTAGTAATATGAGGCTTCTGTTAACTACTGCCAATTATTGACTGCCAATTATTGGTCATGTCTTAGAACCCCAAGTTTCCCAGGTCTGACAAGTGTATAATTAACTCAAATGGGCACATTACAACAGAAATGCACATTTTTATATAGTCTTAAAAACCCCAGCAAGGTAAGAGACCTGAGATCCAAGGAACAAGTCCAAAAAATAAACTGACTTCTTAATCATAAGTTAAGAAGGAAAAATAATTCAGCTAATAAATCAAGGGTGATATCTGAAGATGATCAGAGATTCAAAATCATTCCATGTTCACATCATTTGTATAGTTAGTGATGGAGAGAAGAGTTATAGAGTCATTTCAAGGACTGGTGGCAAGCAAGACAGAGCCAACTAAGATCTACCACTGAAGCTTAAGACAAGATTCTGCCTGAGGTTTAGGGTTTTCCTTAATCAGACAGACAATTTTGTCTATTCACAAGATTTAATATAGACCATTTCATAACAAGAAATCTACAACCCAAATAACTTGTTCATTAAAATGTAATTGCCACAGTCTAATTAATAAAAGGTAGCTAAAATAGAGAACACTAGTACAGGGAATGTAATTGAGCTTATACATTTTATAGGGCAAGGTTAACAGAATATCAACAGAGGAAAGGAGGGGTGGGATAGATAGAGATCAGTCAACATTTCAAAGTTAAGCAACATTTACACAGTAACAGTTACTTTAACCCAATTTTTATCTTGTTCATTTTTACATTTTACTTAACGGATTGTACACTAAATATTTTCAATCTGTTTAATTGATATGATGTGTAACACCTTCAGAGATGGCTCCCTTGTATAAGTAACTCAGTCAAAACTTTATTTTTATGAAACTGAATCTATTATATATAACTTATTTTATATATTAAAATGTAATGTGGCATTACCAACTCTGCTGTGCTTCTGAATTTTCTTCTCTTGTGTGTTTTTAAATGGTCTTTTTCTTTTCATTTTTGACATTACCATTACTACCCTCCAAGTTTTCTCCCCAACTTCCCCTACTCTCCCTAGCAACAAATAAGTCAAGTAAAAGAAAATTTATTCTTTTTTACACATTGGCAGGATCTGAAAATGTCTCATTCTATACTCATGGTCACTTCACTCAGTATAAGCCCATGCAAATTTTCCCAGGTTTTCCCCCCTTTTTCTGAATCTATCCCTTTGGCCACTTAGTATAGTACAAAAATATTACATTACCTTGATATATCATAATTTCTTCAGCCATTCCCTAAGTAATGTGCACAGATATTATTTTCAGTTCCTTGCTACAACAAAATGTGCTGCTTAATTTTTGAACATACAAGTCTTTTCCCTCTCTGATGTGTTTGGGGTATACACCTAGTAGTGGCATTACTGAGTCAATACGTAATTTAGAGAATGACAGGGTTAAAGTTCCAAATTCCTTTCCAGAAGAGTTAGAGCAGTTCAAGAATTCTACCATTTCACCTTTATTTTCAACACAAGAAAATACTAACAAAAGAGCTAAATAAAGATTACCTCCTTGGCTCAAAAAGTAAAATGTTCTATTTCATTTTTATGTACAAATTTTGTGCCATCTGATTTTTGTTCAACATGATCTATATGCAATAGCGAGCATAGAAAATAAAGTTTAAAAACTTTCAATATCTGAAATGCTGGGTGAATAATGTAAATAACCAAAAATTTAACAAATACAAAAGGTCTTAATACCAAGTACTGTTGTAAACATGAGCTCTGATCCTACAAATATCAACTTTATTAACCTGTAAAGATTTGAGCTAGATAACTGAAGATCAACTTTTCATAGATATGGCATGTTTACTAAAAAGGTTGTGATATATGATTTTTTCTATACTTCTCTTATGACAATAACAATTTAATTAAAATATTTTTTAAATACTCTTTTGCATAGTATTACATTTTCCAAATTCCAAATATTCTGAAGATGCAATCTAATGAGTTCTGTTGATGGGAAATGGGTAAACTGGTATTGTTAGACCCATTGTATTCATGAGCAAATAGGTATAGAAAGCCACAGGAACTTACTTGCCCAAAGTCAAACTGCAAATCAGTGGAAGAATTAGGAACAGATCTCCTGACTTCAGGTCGAGTGCCCTATCCAGTAGGCCACACTGCACAGACAAAAGAACAAGATTGGAAAAATGAACTGTGCCTTACTATACTATCCGACAATACTAAAATACAAATCGTGCCATGCTATGCTATGTCATGCTATGCTATGCTATGTTTCAATACCTGAAATAGATCCTGGCCATCTCAATCAACTTGACTGCCCTTTTTCCCCCACCCTTTGTTCACACCAGAAATTCAGATCATTTTGTGTCCACGTATTCTCTTCTTTCAGTGGCAAGAACATGAATTTGGCCAGTGGACATACTGAACTCACTAATTCCACATCCTAGATGCCACATTCTTTTTCCTTGACACTACAGACAAGCCACAGTTATCTGACATGCAGCTAGGGGCATTATGGACAAAAAGTGGGGGTGGTGGGTGAATGTGCCAGATCAGATGGAGAAGGGGACGTATACTGCACAAAAAGAATGATATATTAAAATTTATAATGCACGTGACAACGTGTACAGATAAACAGTACATTTCTACATTCATAAAATGTACCTAAAAAACAGTCACTAACATCATTATTACAAAACTTTCATCTGTCCTGAGGGAATACATTTCTAGTACTTTTACAGCGTCAATTAAGGATCACAAAATTCCTATGGTATTTTACTAAATAACATTAATTGAGGTAAGCTGTGTAAGATCATAGCTCTGAGGTCTCTAATCCATAATTTCAGAATCTAGAAAATATTTCAATTCCCTCACAAAATACACACAAACCAGAATATTAAAACTAGAAATTTCATATAACATAAACAATATGCTAAGTATGCCAAATGATCAGAAAAGAATGACTTCAACTGTGAACCTCTAGGAGAAGAAGGGAAAACTACTCAAAAATTAAAGTAAGGTGAGAGGACACATTTTTGTAAAATTTATAAAGGCATTAAAAGATTACTTTTTTTAATGTATCTTTAGGGTTTTCATGATGACCCACAACTAACATTTAAAATAGTATAATCTGAACTTTTCATGAATCACATTAACCTCAGCTGTACAACCCCAATGGCTAGGAAACAAAATTATTCCATTCTCTTTCCAATGGGACAGGACTAAAAGTACAGAAAAATAAATATATTCCTTCCAACTTGACACAGGCAACTTTATCAGTTCTCTAGTAAATGAGCTGCCCTGGAAATCCAAATTTGTCCACAACACTCCATTTTAAGTGCTTATCAATTGCCTAAAAGGCTAACAGGTTGCTTTTGAACATTTTGTATTTATTTGAAAATCAATTCTAACACTGAAATAGGAGACATAGGAAGATTGCTTGGTTATTATAGAAAGTAGCATGATCTAGTTCCCAGTTCTACCATGAGTACACAGTAGTCTTGAACTAGCAAATATATCTATACCAAGAATCTCCCAACTTAAAAAGGTAAAATGATAATTTTCCCTCATCTGCATAATTATAGCTATTTATAGAATTATAAAACAAATTTTTAGCAATCTAGGATATGAAAAATGACTTCATCTACAGAATACGTATGTAAATTTTACAGAAAAATATCAAGGTAATTACAGAACAGAAAAAATTTACTTAAGTTTAGCAATATTGAAAATGACAAGGATAAAAAGATAAAATATAACTAGATGAAGACAAATTGGGCATTTAACAAATGGTACTTTTCTCCTCAGATTACAATTTCAATTAAATAAATGGACTATATATGGTGGGGGAAGGGAGGGATGGTGCACACAAACACACACACACACACACACACACACACACATATATATACAACTTAGCTGCACAGCCAAATCTTCTCAAAAGTATTCCTCTTAGTATGAATTTATTTCTTTTAACTCTTGGTATGGCCAGAATTTAATATTACCACAACAATTTATAAGTTAATATCCAGTTCTTGTGGATATTATAATTTTTTTTAAATGAAGGTTACCATCATCCTTTTCAAAGCACCACAATCATTTCCAAAAGGAAATGATACTGATGATTTCTCCACCAAAATTAAACACACAAACATATATATGTATGTATGTATGTATGTATAAAACAGTTTCTGGGGCTAAAAAGTTTCTCAAATGAATATCTGCTCTCAGGCTCAAAACTAAAAGGAAACTCAGATGACATTTAGTTCAATAAATGGCAATCAAACATAAGAATTCCAGTGACAGGAAAGTTATAACCTCCAGGAACTGACTACAGTATCTCACTTTTGGAATAGTCTACCTGTGAAGAACACTTTCTTTACCTGGAGCATATATTTGCCTCTTTGCAACTTTCACATTTTATTCCTAGTTCATCCCTCCAGGGCAAAGCTGAATAAGTCTAATTCTTCCAAGTGACAGGCTTTCAAACATTTCAAAGCAATTATTATTTCAGCCAGTCTTTTTTTCCTCCAAGTTCATCCCACTACCTTTAGGCAGGCAAGATATTTTTAGAGATGAGACAAGCGATCCTCCCCAAAGGTTAAGTAGCATGTCCGAGGTTACATAGCTAGGCTTTCCCGGTGTTATGGGGGGAGGGGGGGCGCGCGGGAGCAGGGAGGGAGGGAAAGGGAGAGGGAGAGGGAGAGGGAGAGGGAGAGGGAGGGAGAGGGAGAGGGAGAGGAGAGGGAGAGGGAGAGAGATAATGGCTGAAATTCGTTCTGCTTCTTACAAAGTACTTTTTCTACTACATGGTCTCTAAGGTCTCTTCCAATTGTAATAAAAGCAAAATTTCTACTAAAATTTCCTGGAAAAGATGACCTGGAAAACATGAAACACACTGCCCATGGCCCATCCTAATCTAATAAAAAGCAGAGGTTGGAATCTTCAAATCTAAAGGATTACTAATGGCTGCTATACTATTCTCTACTCCAAAATTATATAGAACTCTTCATTGTAAATGGTTATTTTCCTGGAAAGTCTGGGCAGTGAACTTTGCAGTAACTTGCAAGAGGCCTCAGAAACCACCTAGTGCAACCTGTACCTCATCGCTTTTAGAAAACAATGGTAATAATAATAACGATGACAATAATAACAGCAGTTCGCACTTATATAGCACTTTAAGTTTGCAAAGATGTTACAAATATTCTATCATTTTATCGTCACAACAACCCTGAGAGGTAGGAACTATTATTATCATCTTTTTACAGATGAGGAAACAGAGGTTAAGTAACTTGCCCCAGGTTACAAAGTAAGTACCGGAGGCAAGATCTGGAGTCTTCCTGACTGCCAAGTTCAGCACATACACCACCTAGCAAACTCCTGTCAAAATCCTGACAAAGTAATCATCTAGTCTCTGCTTAAAAGGCTCCCCTTGGTGATAAACTCATTTTATTTGAGGCAGAAATTCACATTAAGCTAAAACCTACTTCTCTGCATCTTCTACTTATTGTTGAAGTAGTGATGACACCCATGGCTCTTGTCTGACTTACAGCTATAACTTTTAGTCCAGGATCTAATAAAGTGCAGATTTCTCACTTAAATCCAATTCACTTGCAAGTCATCACTTTCCTGATGTCTTGATTTTCTTTGAGAACAAAAGACAAACAACCACCTGTGAGTAGGGTGAGCTGCCTCACCTAGAACCCAACTGGCCAGTTCTAGTTGAGCAATGCAGCTCCCTCTTTCCTTCCACCTTTCTTTCCTTCCTTCTACCTTCTTTCCTCTCCCCTTCCTTTTTCCCTTCCCTTCCTCTTTTCCTTCCCTTTCTCTTCCTCTGTCCACATAGGATATCATGCTGGTGCTCTGCCCAAAGGAATGTAAATCTTAACAGCTGAAATCTAGCAAGATATCTTGGGGCTTATGGGATGGATTTCTTTCTTAAAGACCATGCCTCAAATCCAATTCACTCTGGCTCTCATTGATTGGCCAAAAACAGGTCCCAGGCCAAGCCCCACTTAGTGGTCATTGTTTGGGCCCAGACAGCTCAGAGTGAATGTAAATTAATTGTTTCTGTTTTGGCCAGAAACCCTAAGGTCTTCCCTTGACAGAGTGATTTTTTTCTTAATTAGGTAAAAGGGGCCATTCCTTGGTTCATTTCTTACCTAGCCTTAATCACTGAATGGGTGTTGCCTCACTCAAAGCAAGAACCTGGAAAGACCTTAGCTTAAAAAGGGCAAGGTCTCTCACTGTATCCAGGGCCACCTCCAGTCATCCAGATCTATATCTTGCAACTGGACCCAGAAGGCTCCAGAGAAGAAAGTGAGGCTGGTGACTTTGCACAACCTTCCCTCACTTAAATCCAATTCACTTGCAAGTCATGGCATCACGTTCCTGAAGTCATGGGCCTCTTCCAGAATGAAGGACAAACAACAACAAGGATGACACCCATGGCTCTTGTCTGACTTATAGCTATACTTTTTGATCCAGGATCTAACAAAATACAAATTCAGGAATATGAATTCATACATAAATAATTAGCATTATCAGTAGTGCCAAGGTGTCAGAACTTGAATTCAAAGTTATTAAGGAAATGAAAATCAGAAAGGGCTGTTAAAGAATGGTTCAAGAAAAGATTCCAAATTATATCTCCAAATTCTTCTAACTGTCCCTCCATTACCACCCCAGAAATTACTATAGGCACACTATTTCAAGGCAAGTTATTTGACTTCCTATGAGCCTTTGTTATTCAGTCATTTCAGCCATGTCCAACTATTCATGACCCCATTTGGAGTTTTCTTAGCAAAGATACTGGAGTGGTTTGCCATTTCCATCTCCAAGTCATTTTATAAAGAAACTAGGGCAAATGGCATTAAATGACTTGCCCAGGGTCACACAGCTGTCAAAGAGTCTGAGGCCAGCCCAGAACTCAGGAAGATGAGTCTTCCTGATTCCAAGTCCAGCATTCTATCCACTGCACCACCTAGCAGGTCTGATGAGCCTAAGTACCCAATAAAGTAATTTGTAGATAGCAGGTACTTAATATTATTTGTTCAAAAAAATTTGTTAGTATAGGAAATATCTGAAGGATATTTCTTAATACATTTGCAAAGGTGATTATATGAAAAATCATTGTGGCAGGTATGATTTTTTTTCTGTC